AAATGTTGAAAAGATTATCATTACCAGATTAAGTTTACCATCAATAGATTTCTTCTTGTTTATTTAGTTCATTTGATTTATTAAAGGTTTAACTTGATTTCGTTTACTTGTTTATATTTAATCTTATTTCTTCATTCCCTGTCCCTGTCTCATTTAAACATGCATTGTTAAACAGCATTATATTTGAAAGCTAATTTGCGCTCTCATCAAGATAATTTCAACCCAAAATCCAACAAGATAATTACAATTAACAGCAGTATAGATTCTTGCTCATGCTAGGTAAAAGCTTGCCGTTGATTAATAAGATTGTATAATTTAAATTGTCACTGTTTACCCATTAAAATGAAAGCTTATTTGTTACCTTTTAACCAGTAAAATATATCCACAGTAATTGCTTTTGATGTTTTGATGTTTTTTATTGTTTTTGATGTTAGTTGATTAAATAATCAATAGAGGGAGCTAGCTAGAATTTTCATTTATTTCAATTTCAAAGTAACCGTCTTTTTAAAGGTTACAAACGATGTCGGACTTTAAGAGCTTTAATTTTACTAATTTTGTTAATTTTAATTATTCTAGTTGTTTTAAAATGTGTTTCGTGATTGGATTCAATTAAGTTTTCATCTAATACAATGTAAACCCTTCATCTTTATCTTGGTCAATTGGTTTGTAAATAGTGTTCGTTTGGTGAAAAAGAAGGACATTTTAAAGCTTTTTTTGATGATGATAGGTTTCAATTAGCCCAACATATAAAACTAATTACCTTGCTAATTATCAAGAGATATTGAGCTGTAAACTGTGAGTGAAATTTGATTGTGAGTAAAGATTATAGTTTAAGCTCACTGTAATTATTAATTTTAATCAATATCATTTCACCAGTTTACTGTTGAACAAAGTGCTACTTGGTGTTAGAGATTGACTGTTGGAAGTGAGCTGTTAGGAGTTAATGAATGTTTACAGTTGAATTTGAATTTTTTTTTGAAAAAAAATTCAGTTATCACATGGTTGACAATATGTTTAGATGAAAGATTGTGGTTCTTTCATTGATTTTTGCAATGAAATATCAAGAAGTTGAGCGATATAACCAGATGAAACCAATTTAAAGATGATAAGTTGATTCTAAGTTGCTGGTTAAAATTATGGGTAAGTGTGAATGATAATTGAGATGAAATCAAATTTATCTGATCAATGTTAACCTTTCATATTTAAATGTGTAAATGCGATTAAATTATCTGATTGAGAAGCAAGAAGAGAAACAATAGAGAACCTTTTGTTTTTCTCATTGATAACAGTTGCTTCCATAACTTAATGTTATATTAATTATTTTCCTGTTAATCATATGATTAATATAAAATCTCTTTTTTATAAAACAGCATTAATCAACACTTTTTTTTATATACAATTTTAATCACAGGAAAATCTCATGGATTGAATTGTCGATTAAAAACGGAGCTAAATACCAAACAAGAATGATTTCAAGTTAAAGCCAAATCTAATGCAATCCAACCAGGACAATTTAAAAAATGGCCAAAGTACTAAATAAACAACAATTTAACAATTTATTTGTTGAGGACAGTGACGATGGTTATGATGGTCAATGAGGAGATTGATTTAACCTACAGTCCACTGAGATGATGTAAATTAAAAAGGGATTTAATCCTTTAAATAAATAACCATTGGCCATGAGAAATGAAAACATTTTTTCCTGATTATTGATTGTTGTCTTTGCAATTCAAATGAGGTGGTAATTGAAGATTGAAATTTTTCATTAATTTAGAGGTAAATATGAAAATATTGCCACCTATTTTTAAAACCTGTTGAAAAATGTATTTTTATTTTTTTCTCTTTTTTTCACAGCAACCTGTCTTTGGACTAAAATCAAGATTGGTGATAGTTGATATGGAATCAAGTGGAATTGATTTGGTCAAGAGAATGAAAATGTTTCTTCCATGGTCAAGATGCAAGTTTCATGGCGAACATCTCATGGGTTTACTTGAAGGAATCACCAGTTCAACAACAAAATTGGGATCAATGAAATGAATCAACATCATTAAGATGAAAGATCGCTTATGTTGACTGAAATGACCTTCTCATGGACTGATTGACGTTGAAACAGGATACTTATGTGATGCATTTCTGGATTATTTCCTAGAAAAGTTTCAACTCTAACTCTGACTGAAGACAAAGTTGACAATAAGATTTCACGTAAATTTGATGGGCGATTTTTCTGTTCACTTAACCTCCTCCTTGAGATGATTTAAGTCGTTATCTGGATTGATTTTTGAGTGGATCTGATCTAAGTCCATTGGGATGAAACAAGAGGAGCTCAACCTAAAATGATAATTGTTTTACCTTCAATCTGATCTTAATCGCCAACAAATTACTAACTAACCAAACAGTAATTAACCAAATTGTGTTAAACTTTCAAATTCAACTTGATCATTGGCAAGCCATTCAGATTCAACATTTGCCATACACTTTTTTTCAATTAAACACCTTAAAGCGACATTTAATTTTCTCAATCAAAGTGTCTCACAATTTGGGTGAGATGGGAAATCAGTCAATTATGATTGGTGCATCACAATATCATCTTAATTGTTATCGTCATCATCATCAACAATAACAAGAAAAAAAAATACTTGAGACAATTAGTTCTATTATTAATGATGAAAGTGTGTGTTACAATTGATTGGTGTAATCTTTAAAGTTGGTGATCATCATGTTTCTTGATGTTTGGATTTCAACAATTCTATAATTAATCAATAATTATTATAATAATCAAGCTAGATGAATGTGATTTACTTTTTTTTCCTATTTCAAGATGAGTGAAGTGAAACATTGATATTTATTCAACTGATACTCACAGGTAATCATCAATAATATGATGATAATAGTGAAATAAAACGATGAAAGGAAGCTTATCACAATTGGAAAACAATAGCAAGACAACAAGAAGAGGACAAAAAAAATGAAAAGGTAAAAAGAAGATGAAGAAAAGAAGAAGATAAGAATGAGACGAGAATGAAGGTGATAGTGACTGGAGATGATGATGAAAGTAAGAGGATGATAATGAAATGAGAGAGAAAATAGAAAGATGATAGAGTTAATTATAAGGATGCAGATAAATATGAAGAGGTAACAAGAGGTGTCTTATTGAATGAGAACAAAAACTGCACTTGAATAGACATAATCGTATCTATCATTTGCCATCTTTCTCATCATCACATCATCTTCATCAACTTTCCGTATAAGATGATAACAATGATCACAATTAACCTCTGACTTAATTAAGAGACAAATATTAAAAAATATGATTTCTAATTAAAACGCTGTTCAAGTGGTGATTAGGATTGAAACTGTTTCAATTACTTGTTCACATACACAGATGAATTCTGGTGAAGAAGAGGACGATGATGATGATGATGAGAGAGTCAAAACATTTGTTCACTCGAGACATTTAGTCAAGATTTTGTTGTTTGCAAGTAAATCAAGTATCTATTGAAGATGATTATCATGATTAACTCACTCACTAGTAAATAGTAGTTTATCCCGTTCATTATCATTAATCATATTTCTTTATTGTTGTTATCAATTGATGATTACTACAAAACTGTGTGTTAATAACTCTCTATAGCTTTGTATTTATTGTCTTTTTCAATCCACTCTTGACTTAATTTCATGCCACTTTTAGGTTTATTTTTTCCTGTAAATTGGAAGCAATGAGAGCAATTAAAACAAGATGATTAAATTGGCGATGAAATTTGATTAATTTGTCACAATTTAAGGTGAAAGTTGAAAAAATTTCGCTTTGATTTTGATTTACATTTTCTGGTTTCAACTTTGACCAAATTTGGGTTCAGCTTAATCATATTGGTTTCAACAGTATTTTGTATTGCTATTGTTATAATTAAATTGATAATATTGATTGTTACCATAAAATTGAAACATTGCGCTTCTTCAACTGTTGAGGCAAACTTTCAGTTGGTGACTGTTTTTGTTACAGTTAAAAGGTTAACCTGTTGTTACAATTTATCTTGATATTACACAAAAGGTTTAAATGTTATTTTTTACCCCTTTCATGGCTTTTGTTTGGTAATCTGTTGAGTGTATGTGACAATGAGTAGAGATGAGTTTCGTCTTGTAAATAAATAACATTGTTAACCATCATGAAAATGACCTGATTCAACAGATTTTACCATTTCTATCATCATCATCACAATTATTATCAATTATCAGCAAATTACTTTTTAATCACCATTAAACTTGTTCTTTAACCAAATTATCAAGATTAATTGTCAATTGATCATCAAGCTAATCAACATTTTCCCACTGCTAATACAAGCGCAATGGCAATAGGAAAAACGGTAAACCAGAGGAAACCAAAGGATTAGTCAAAGGAAAACATAAACCGCCAAATAAACCGGTAACAGGTTGACCAAGATTCAAACAAATCAGACGATTTAACTCAATCAAATGAAACGGTTAATGGGACTAATGGGACTTAATGTCCAGAGTAAAACAGGAGGTAAAACAGATCCATGGTTGACCCAAAGGTGACAAAAACGGCGATGGAGGGTTACAGTTTTGATGAAATGGCGACTCTGTTAACACTTGAAATGAACATCGTTAACATGGTTTTAGTGGTTAGAAAGAGGGAAAGAAAGAGGAATAAGAAAGACGAAGGAGGCTCAAGGCTGGAAAAGTAAGAGAAGAGAAGAGAAAGAGAGAAAAATGATCGTCCCAAAAAGAGAGAGACAAGGGCGGAGAAAGAAGGAAAAAGAAAGAGTAGAAAAGTTGTATTAAAGTTACCTAATGGAAGCCTTTCTTTTCCTCTTTCCTCGCTCTTTTCCTTCCAACAAAAGGCGAGAAAGAGACAAAAGCGAAACAATACCTAAAGGTAGAGAAAGAGGAAAAGAAAGAGAAATTAGTGAGAAAGAGAGAGAGAGAAAGAGAGACTAATGAAGAGAGAAAAAAAGAGAGCGAAAATGGAACCAGGCAGAGTAAGCATAATTCAATACATCGCCGGCCTAAACACTTTAAAGGCAACAATAGAGTTAAGACAGAAAACACTTTTTCGTACTTCAAGTTACATTTTTGTTACCCAATTTTTAAATTGTTGATTAACAACCTTTTAATTATGGTATTTCTAGTGAATTAACCAATTGTCAATTCTGTCCAATTAACATTTTCACCTTTAATTTTTATTCTCAAATCAATTGTTCACCATAAATTCATCGACATCGACATTGCTCTTTATTTTTGTTTGCCTTTTGCTTGATTCTTAACCCAAGTCAACCCAAGTGAACCCGAAGTCAACCTAAATCAACTCAAATCAACCTTTTAAAGTGACCTTTGTAAAAATAATTAAACAAACCTTGTTAACCTTTGATACACTTTTCTTGCCAATCCAAGTTTCAATATGATCTTTGAATGGTTCAAAATTAACCCAATTTAACCTGCCTTACCATTTGACCAACTGGTGCTTTGTGAATATACATTTCAATTTTGGATTATTAACTTCACCGATTTCAAATCAATTCAGCTCAATTGAAACTTGTCGGAATCCAGTTGCGATACTCGAGGTACTCTTTTTTTACGCTTATTTTTGTTGAATTTTGTTTTCTCTTCTAACCTCTACAATATTTGTTAACCTCATCTTATTGTTGTTTGTTTTCGGATTATCGGATAATTTACTCGTTCTTGTTGATCAGAAATTTTATGGATTTACAAGTATATTACATCAATTATATCTGCAATTATATTGTTAATTGTTGAATAATATGGTAACTGTTGAGTTATAAATTTGTTTATTATTTTGCTTCCCTTTGGATACAACAAAATAAACCGTTTTTTGTTTTGTTTAACTTCATTTTCCAACTCAAGACCAGAACAGGCAACAAGTCCAGTTATGAACCATGAAATGTGTAAAATTGCGTCAACCTTTACTTGGTGTTAATTGAATCTGTATTTTTTTCGGTGCATTTGCAGATTAATCGGCGAAATTGTTCAACAATTGAATAAATGATGGATTCAAGTAACAGTGTTTACCATTCACCAATTGATTCTAATCAAAGTGACCCAAGAAACAATTTAACTTTGGGTGAAACTGTTGTTTACCAGACAAGTGTACCCTGTGAGACTAGTGTAATCATTGATCAACAACAACAGCAGCAGCAGCAACAACAACAACAGCAAAACCAACAACAATCAAATGAACACCATTCCAATCATTCTCACCATCAACATGTAAACGACTCTGGGTCAGAAACTAATGCCTACCTTTACACTGAAGTAGATGAAGCCAGTCCAAGTGAAATGATTGACCATTGGAGTTACAACAATGGCTCCTCAGGTGATCCCAATTCAGATGAAACCTTAACCTATCATCACACCTCCTCTCACCATGTAACAACAACAATATACGGATCCTCATCATCAGGTCAAGGGTCAAACAGTCCAACAACCCCTCCAGCCTCAAATGGTAACCCAACCAGCAACCATTCAAGTGAACCAACCGATCAACATCACCACCATCACCACATCATGGAAGTAACCAATGAAGAGATTCGTAAAATGAACGAAACTGGAATCGGTGTAATTCAAAGTTCATCATCAACTCAACCAAGTCGACTCGGACGATCTTCAGTTTCCTCCAGCATTTCAGGTTCCCTTGGAGGAAACTCTGGAAACAGCATGATAGAGCAAAGGATAAGACGTCCAATGAATGCATTCATGGTTTGGGCAAAAGCAGAGCGCAAAAGGTTGGCCGATGAAAACCCTGACCTTCACAATGCCGATCTAAGCAAAATGCTCGGTAAGTCAAACATTTTCCCATTCATCTCTCATTAAACCCAAAAATTGTGTCCATCATTGAGAGCAAAAACAGTTTATTACAAAACATTTAAACAAAACAACAACGACACTTAGACACACACTTAACACACCAAACTGGATAAAACATTATCACTCGATTCTCAATGTTTTCTTGTTATCATGAACTGAAAATCGCCAAATCAATTTATCAATTTCTTCTAATCATATCTCTTCAATTCATAGTAATGTGAACAAAAGACTAACACCATAACAGAGAGAGAGAGAAAAAAAAGTTTCATATATTTATAAAGATTCATTAAACACTATTAACTACTGTGAAAAACTAATCATGTGATTATTACCTCTGAACAATCCACTTGAAATAGAATATGGAATAGCAGAAAAAAATGAAGATAGACATGAAAAAAAATATGAAGAGAAGCTTGTAATGAAAGGGAAATTCCCTTCAACATATGTTGAAGCTTCCCAAAACTCCCCTGAACAGAAAAGCAGCAAAAAGAGAAGACGACTTCTCAGAACTCAACAGAACCTGGAACATGATGATGATGATGAAGGAGAAAACAGGTGAATCTCAGAATCACCTTGCCTTTCTGTTTCATGTTTCATTTTTTACTTGTTGCTTTCAAAAGACAAAAAAAACGACGTCGACTATGTTAAAACGATGTTTATCTTTTAGGTAAATTCTCAGTTTACTTTCTTCTCCTCTTTCATAATCTCTCATCATCTCATCATCATCATCTTCCTTCTCTTTCTTTATTCTCTTTCTTTCCTTCTCTTCCCTGTTGTTGTTGTTGTTCAATTCTTGTTGATTGCGTGAATCTAAAGCTCATCTAACCGTGAGTAGTTCAATTTCGTTAGTAAAACTTTCTCCTTCTAACGTTCACTTTTTGCCTGGGAAAATTTCGTCCTCTTCTTTTCAGAACTTTCTCATTCTCAGATTTTTCCATTTTTTCTTCATCAAATGATTCTCTTTTTCTCTTCATCTTCTTCTTCTCAGTTAAGAGCAGTTAAAAAGAAACAAATTGCAATGTAAATATTGAAAGTCAATTGTACTTGTTCATTTTAATATTAATAGTAAATGATGATGATGATGATAATAATAATTATTACTATTATTATTATTATGGTTAACATGCTAACTGAGAGTAAACAACTTCACAAGTTTAATTATTATCAAGTGGCTATCAACAATTAACAGCAAGAAAACAAAAAGATGATGATGACAATCAAAGGTGATGCAAAAATGAGCTTATAATGGATGAAAAGCAAGAACAAAATTATCATCTGTTGATCATCAGTCTATTTGATTTGATCAACAGTTTCAACATTTTTCACCTTCACAAACCTTTGTAAGAATCAAAAAGCTTTAATTAAACCCAAATTTTTCATTCCAATCAATTAAACATCAAATATAACCTAAAATCTGCAGTTCATTTGAATAAAACCTTTTCCCATTCGTAGACGAAACACCAAACTGTATCAAAGTCAAGTCCAACTATTAATGCTATCAATCGATTCTTGCATTTACTTTTTTCTCAGAATTTCAATAATCTATTCGAGTCAATCTCGAGATTTTTGCATTTAATTTTAATCAAACATTAATTTTGATTAAAACTGATTTTTATTTTGAAAGCATTTCCAGAATCACGAGTTTTGGTAAAAGTAAAAGTTTTCAATTTAAAATTTGCTTGATTTATGAAAACAATATCAAAGTGAGCAATAAAATGTTGAAATGAAAAATCAAAGTCAACATGAAATGGCCATTTGAAACTATCGATAATTGATTTTCCCTAAAAAGTCCAAGTGCACCTTCAATCACATCTATTATTAAATTATCAGATTTTTTTATTTCCATTTCTTCTCTCTCTATCAACTTGCTGTTAAATCATTTTCCCATTTTCATTTTATGGATTTGACTTTTTTTTATATCTTATACTTTCATTACCTTGCATTGAACCAATCATCATTGTATTACCGGAACAAAATTAAGGTTACAGCAATTACAATGAATTTTCTTTACACTGACAGACAATATGTACCTTACCTGTTACCTTTTCCTTCATCTCTATCATGTTTCGTTGTCATCGAGCGAGAAGAAAAAATCCCTTTTCTTAGTTGATGGTTTATCCTTTTCTCAATTTATCTTGTTGGTCACTTTCCCATCCCAGCTTTTAAACTTCATTTTTTTTATATTCAATTACAATCATCTTCAATCAAACACCTAACAAAATCGATTAAAGAAACATTTGCTTTCATCATCATCATCATCATTTGTGATCATCTTTCTCATCACCCTTCAATGGCATTGTATTGGTTAACAATATTTATAGCAAAGTAGCAACTTAATTGTGACCTTAATATGTCCATTTGAAGGTTAGAACTGAAAGGAAAGTTTCTTGATTTACTTGATTATCGAGAATAATGTATCTGTTAATTCTGACCATTTAATCATATACTTGTCAATGTCTGTGTGTGTTGAGGTTAAAATGAACTTTTAGATGAAAATTGAAAAATGCATTTTGACCGAGGTTTATTCAACCCTGTTCAACATAATGATAATGATGAATGTGAATAAAGTGAAAAAGTAATGATAAAAAGCCAAGAATATCATTTACTTTAATAATCTCATTTCATTTCATTCCATAATCTTTTTTCCATCTTGTCTCATATCACTTTATAATGATGACCCCCAACCCCTTATCATCAATATCAGCTTATATCTTGACCGGAATATCATGTCGATAAAGACCGGAAACTCATGGAGTGATTGTAAATTGGAAACCATTTGCAATGAGAAAAAGTTGAATTGAAATTGAAATGTTTTCCATCCATTAAATGCAATATTTATCAATGAGATTATTGATGAAAGAAAACAAATGCGAAAGAAATGGCGATGATTTGAAGCTCATGCAAATTGAAAGAGAACAAAGAAAAGAAAAGATGAGAAAAAAGATGAACATGATGAGAGGAACATGATGCTCAAGTGGCAATAGCTCTTTAACTTTTGATTGGTTTAAATGAAGAGAGAAAGTAATAACTAATAAAAGGTAAAAATCATCTCAACATTTATGTTAATGAGGATGATGATGTTGGTAATGATGATACCTTAATTTACTGAGACCACACTCAAATCAATGTATAAAAATTCAATTTACTTTTAATAGTTAATCGGAAAACTTGAATTTTGCATCTTTCTTCTTCTTCTTCTTCTTTGTGGTTGCTTCTGTTTCCTTTTCAAATGATCACCTTTTTCATCATCATAATCATCATCATTTTCATCAGCCCGAGGGTAAAAAATAAGATCAAGTGTTACTATATTTACGTGATAACAATTCATGTTTGTTTGCTGATAATAACCATATTTATGGTTCCATATTTGTTACTCTTGTTAAGAGACTTTCTTTGTGTACACATTTCCTCATCTTTTCATCTCATTTCACATCAAAAAACAAGAACTGAAAATGAAAATTTCATGTTTAGTCTCAAAGCTTTATTCTTGATTTTCTGGGGAAACTTGAGAAGCCAAGAAAAGGTATCGTCAAGTATATTTGGTTTGCAATAATTTTTAATGATCTCCAGTCATTATTATTGACCATTAAACAGTTAAAATGCAACAAAAGTCTAAATGACCATTTGATGGTTTAACTGTAACTTCAAGTCAGATTCAGAATTTTGATCAAGAAGAAGCACAAAAAAAACCAACAGAAGATGAAAATGATAAGGTTGATGATGATGAAGAAACCAACAACTTGACCTCTATTAATCATACATCATCATCTCATTTAACTTTCTCTTCAAGTTACAATTTAAATTACAATTAGCGTCTCTTTTTTTCCGTTGATTTAGTTTTCAGCGAACAATTAGTATCTCATTTTCGTGTTCACGTTTTTCTTCAACATTCTTGTTGAGCATTTTTATCACCACAACAGCAAAGAAGGTAAAAAAACAACATTTACCTGTATCTCATTACCTTAGTTACCTTGATTTGCCTTGTTTCACTCACTCGTACTTTTACATCGAGTTGTAAGATTTATCGATGTTTAATGAACTTTACGGTGAAATCCTTTGAAAAGCTCTCATTAAACTCTTCATTGATCTGTCAATGATTGTCCATTTCAACGAAGAAATATCATTGAATCATTTAGTCTTTCAATTCTGATTCTTTGCCAATGAATTGAGTTTTCACTTGAAATTTATTTTCTCTTTTTTTCTAAATCCCAATTCTCTTGGTTCATGGTTTAACCTGAACAATCCGCTCTCTTTGCACATTTACCTTCAGGTTAGGTCAAAACAATTTATAATCTGGCCTGGCTTCAGTTAACTTTACTTGGCCAAGTTAAACATTTCCAGAATTTTTTACTCTTTTTTTTCTTCTATTCTATTCTGCCGTTTCATTGAACAAGTTTTACGCCGGAAATGACATTTTTACCTTCAACTTCAACATGATGATGATGATAATCATCTTCAGTTTAACGTGACTGGTTGATGTTCAACACTTGATCATGTTTTCATGTGGTTTTGTCACCATTGTGCGTTCATTATTGCAAACAGATAATATCATTAATAGCAAGGTTCGTTGGTGATAGACAAATGCCTGGCGAAAAACTTTCGTTACCTTGAGCACGTTAAAGTTGCGTTTTTAACCAAAAAAATACCAACCATAGCGACATTGGCTTTTGTAAGATTTAATGAAAACAAATTAACTTGTTTTGTGTTTAATGAAACATTCAATTGCTAAATGAGAATCATCTTTCAAGAGAAACTCAATGATTTTCGTCAACGAATCCTTTCTCAATGAAATCGCAAATTTTACTCTTGCTTTCTCATTTTCACCTTTAATCCGGCGCTCTTTGGTTTTGGCTTGAAAATTATGGCAAGGTCATCATTAATCACTGATAACCTGAACAGGATAAACAGATGATTGTAGACAAAATGAACAAAAAATGTAAACTTTTCTCTCACTCGCTCACCATGTACATG